CACCATCATCATCATCATCATCACCATCATCATCACCATCATCATCACCTTCACCATCTTCATCACCATCCTCATCACCATCACCATCACCATCACCATCATCATCATCATCATCATCATCATCATCATGACAATGATCATCATCATCCTCGTCGGCATCGTCGTCATCTTCATCATGATCATCATCATCATCATCGTCATCATCATCCTCACCATCATCGTCACCAACAAGTCAACATTATGGTGACCAGCACACACATCATCGTCATCAGTCGCCACCAACAGCCTCTGCTCCATCGACCCCCGCATCATGATCGGGATAGCCTTGTTCAATCACCTGCTCATCCTCATCATGCTTGCCATCTGAGTTATATGTGTGCTCATCCTTTTCATCGTCGTCATCATCATGAACATCATCAGCAGCAGCAGGATCATCATCACCATCTTGCTAGTCATGTTTCATCACTATCGTCACGATCATCATCATCATCATGCCCATCATCCTCAAGAGCTGCTGCAGCAAGTGTCATGCACGTCCCCAGGCTTACATGCCTCAAAGCATGAGCATTGGCAGCAGCCGCACCGACTTTGTCGGGATACTGCTTATATGAGTACTGCTGCTGACGATAGCGATGACGTCAGTACTTTCGCTCTGCTTCTCCTTCTGCCGCCACCAGCACCACTACCAGCACCGGAACGACTTGCCCCAGTCTAATCTTATAGTTCTGAAAAGACACAGACTTGATGCAACAAACCATCCCGCGCTCCTCAATCATGCACAAATAACCGTTGCCGGCGTGTGCCTCTGCAGCCAGCAGCGGCACCTGTGGGGAACTGTAGAGCTGCGCCTGGAAGCGATGGCCCTGGCAACGATCGTGACGGGCTCACTTTGGCGAGGACTGTTCAATTCAGCTTCCGGGCTTTCTCTCTTGGCAGTGCTGTAGGCATGCGGAACAGAAGGTGCAGAGTGCGATAGCACACTGTGGTGCACGTTTTGGGCTTGTGGGTGGTCTTGGGACCTCCTGGGGTGCTCTGGAGTGGCTCTTCCGTCTCTAGGATCTACTCTTTCGCTGGTTGGTGCACGCTGGCAAGATCAGTGAAAGCAATATCTTGAAGTCAAGCCCAACAGCATCACAGGAGCCCTTCAGTGCAGCGAAAAGAGGGTCATACGACAATCGTCATCACACCCAGCAACTCGAAGCCGTCGAAAACTGAGACGAGTGCCTTGTGTTCAAAGGCTACAGCCTGCGCCAAACTGGTCAGGGCCGCCCACCTGATTTCCCGATGACTCTTTGCAAGCTCTAGAACTGAGGGGTAGAACTGGCACACCGATCGCAACAACAGCTCTTTGTCGACTAGAAACATCTTGCTGGGCCCTGTTTGATTTGTAGTCCGCAAACAAAAATTTCGGAGGCGAGTCCCTTCGTCACAAGCAGGAAGCCCAGCCTTCCCAGTAGACTCCTACAAAGCCAAGAAGCCTCGCGCCGCTGCTGCATATTTAGGAAAACGACCGATGCGCATGATAGAAACATGGACGGATGTAACCATGGCATGGACATGAAAAACGATAGATAGGTAGACAAACAGGCAGACAAACTAAAGAGGATAAATAAGTTGATACACAATTTTATGAAGTGACCTCGAGTATGTCGGCAGTCGAAGCTCGGATAAACCTCGAGATTTACATCTCTGAAACACACCCACCGCAAAGCCCGACAGGCTCAGCGCTTGATAAAGAGCCAGCATATTGAAACTTCGTCACCTAAGGAAGAACCCAGTCTCCGGCAGCCCAGGACCTCCGAAGTCGGAATAGCCGGAGCTTAAGAGCGAGCCCTTCGAAAGAAACCAAAGAGTTGGACATTTCAGAATCGAAAGTATAAGTAAGACTTTGAGAAACTGGAGAGGCGAGTCGTTCAAAGAGCACTACAAACGTTGAGATTGGTAGCGTTTGAGAAAGACCAGAGAAGTTGAAAGAGCGGAACAGCGTCCCCTTTGAGAGGCTCGCCCCCCTGTCCCTTTGGATCGGCTCTTGCCGTTGTCTCTTGCGAAAGCTCTGCTCTTCTCAAGCATGGATGTGACTGTTGAAACTCCCGGACACGGGAAACTGACATCAATTAGGTTTGGGTCAGCAAAGCTTTGGATACAAGTGCTAGGAACCTGTCGAATAAACATGCACGACAAGCGACTATACAAGACGTCCCATGCGGCTGAGGTTGTTATCACTGTTGACAGCGAATACGAATATCGTCGTAGTGCAGCATGCCACAGTATTACATGTGTTGTGGTAATGGTCAACATATGTTTAACATGCAGGGTAAAGTGTGACGCGGCGTGCACACAATAAGTCCAAGGAATGTCATCAATACACAGCCGCAGCAAGAGTCATGAACAGCGCGAAGCGGCATGCAAAGCGCAATCGCCAGCGCCAGTGCTTCGAATGTTGCGCTGGCCAACACAAACTCTAACCCCAGCAACCTGGGAAACCATGGACACCACACCCTGGCCTGGCCAGGCCCGGGCCATGATTTCCTAAAGGATGGCAGAGTGCCTTGCACGGAGTTTAGGTATAAGCATGTGGGCCTTTGGGCTTGCGTATACTGTAGAGGAGCATGCTACCTTTTTAGCTTTTCGGGCTTTCGTGGTAGCGGTTGAGCAGTTTCGGCTTGGGTGCGCGGTATTCAGGGTCGGCGAAATTAGGAGTCATGGCTTGGGAGCAGGAACGAAGCAGTGTGCACGGGCTTCGTAGGTTTCAGCATGGGCGCAGTGTGCTTAGGTTGGTGGTTTACGAGGGGCTACGACGAAGCCTCTGATGGGAACGCTTATAAACTGGCAACCGTGAAGATCGGGGTTACTTAATGTGAATTAAAAAGCCATGAAGCTGTTCAAACGAGCGAGGGCCATCCGGATCGTATCCACTCTTCATCTGATTGAGTCACTCCACGGCCACACGGCTCAGTGAATGACTTATGGGCCCTTAGTAACGTGTACGTCGCTCAGGTCACACTCTGCATAAGCACAGGTGACATCAAAAACTACATGTGCATCCTCAACCTCTGGCCGAAGTCCAAGAAAACCCTAATTACCATTTGTGCTCTGTAAGGCACAAGAGAGGAGTGTCTTCGACTCTCGGGTGCGAGCCTCTGTCGAAGCTCCCGCGATCACTCGCCCGCGCAATGCCGTCAAGAGCCCAGCAAGCACAAATCACGTGGGCGTCAGCAGCTTGGCAATGCATTCTTCATCGAGGCCACCCAATGAAAGTCACAAACCGGATCGCTGCCCTTATCGCTGCTGGTGGTGACTCTGAGACACTTTCTCAATCTGGCGGCCCTCTCGTGTTGGCCACTGCCGCGGAGCAGCGTGATGTTTTCGCTACCAGGTCTTTGGTCTTTAGTCGGATGCTCACCCAGCCCTCGATAGGACCTTCACCTGTGTGAAGTCGGTAGTGCAAGCGCTCTCCCACCAGCTGCCGCTGCTGAATCAAAGCACCAGTTGCTAGTCGTTGTGGCTCCTGCTCTGATGCAGTGTCCCGGCTCTTACGGACAACGATGCCACCCTTGTCCGCGCCACCAACCACCTCCCAAATTGATGGCCCTTCTGGCACCTCGCTTGCAGCTTTTGCTGCTGCCTTCGGCGCTGGCTCCTGTGGCACCATAACATGCGGAGCCAAGTCCAAAACAAACCCTGACACCCAAGAAGCAAGCAAACAACCTCAAGCGCATGCCGGAGGGCCTCGCCGATGGCGTTTGAGTCAGCATGCTTCCGAAGCTCTTTGATGTCTGAGACTGGCTTTGCCTCTGCTGCTGCCTCTTTCTCGGAAGCTCTTAGATACGCATCTCTGTCTCCGGAAAATGCTTTGGGGACGTCCTCGCTCACAAAGATTTTCCTGCAAGGAGTCGCGAACCCTGGCTGCTTAATTGCACAACACGTTCAACATAATGCAGCACCGGATTTTTGTTACAAAGGAACCGATATGGACCGACGACACTCCAACTTATGGAGGCAGCAGAAGAAAAATCCTTCGACGGCTTTACAACCTCGTGCAGACTTCTGCGCATGTACTGCCACTATCGGTAGCGTCTTCTTCTACGCTGACTGCTGTTCTTCTTGGTACTGATGCTAGAGTGCTTCACAAAGTCATCCAAAATAAAAGAATACAGTACGAGTTTAACGGCATGCGTACACACCTGCATAGGTCCTTGTGTGTGTATATATACACAATCAATCAATCAACCAACCAATCAATCAGTCTATCAATCAATCAATCAACCAATCAATCAGTCTATCAATCAATCAATCAATCAATCAATCAATCAATCAATCAATCAATCAATATACATATATAACCATATATATATATATATATATACACATAAACACGTTAGTGAACATCGCAAGTGTCCTGGAGCGTGGAACATTCGAACCATCTGCATCAACCCATATATGTACATGTACATATACATATATATACACACACGTATACATATGTATATATATATAGTGTGTATATATATATATATAGTATATATATAGTATATATATATATGTAATTATTTATTATTATTTATATAGTGCGCTAGACGGTGAGTAGTGCGAGTATGTAATTCAGCATGTAAGGCACGGTGACGATTTTGCACTATGCGGGTCTTTTACTATCTAACCAACGAACATAATAATTGTATTCCTCCTCCGTTTCCCTCTGGCCCCGGCCGCCAAGTCTAGTTACAATCATCCTGTAGTTGCTGAACACACGGAATATTCTAAAACGAACTTGTGCAGTACCTCCGCGGCCTTGGCGGTCTGGCGGCCCTCCACTTGTTGTAAACAACTTCACCATAGCAACCGGACAACAAAAGTAACATCACATAATCACATAAACTATCTGAGTGGGACTGACCAAGGCGTAGGTGTGATACCCGGCAACCTGCACTTTTCATACACGTCTGGCACTGACCACACCAGAGTCATCGTAAAATCTAATAGTGCGGGCTCCAAAATATTCCGAACTTGGCTTTTGCCACGGTGCCGCGAAGGAGTTTGGGCGTTTAGCAGTGGAGCAGTGCTCGCCAGTCCCGCGCTCATTTTGACCGTCTAGTCGCTAGAAGTCGCTGGTATCAAGCAGAGCCAGCAGCAGCCCACTATTCACTTCGGGGCTGCGTCAGGTCTGGAAATCACCGCCCTACGAGGTTTCGGATATTTCCAAGTTGGCAACCGCCTCCCACGCCAGTGCCGCAGTATGTGCATCGTCTTCCCGCCACAATGCTGGCGGGTAGATGGTCATGGCAGATATATTGGCTTAACTTCCAAGAATTCCCCTCTATCCTCCGCCTCCCCTTCCCTCTGCCGCAGTCTCTCCAAGAACCCATACAATAGTTGTGCATGCTCCACTTTGCCCAACTTTGGCGTGCACCTGATCACATCGCTGAACTCGAAACACTTGGGACTTAAACCCTGCATTTGCCACCATCGCCGGTTATCCCTCCAACTTCGACATAAAGAACTGGCTATCCATTCCATTTCCTCACATGGCTGCTTAGTTTCATCATGCCTCAGCAGTCCATTCAGTCTCCTCCAAAGTCTGGTTGGGGCTCCAAACCATTATGTGCCCTTCATTTTTCTTATAGGCATCAAGAATAAATTTATACATCTAAATGAAAATAGATCTTTATTGTTTATTTACTTGTTTATGTTTGTTTGTAAGCACACACACATGCTAAACATATACTGCATATCTGTATATCTTCACGTGCAAAGCGGGTTGATGCGAAAGGATGCGTTCACAAGAAAAAGCAAAACGCCTTGAAGCAAAGCGTAACACAAATAATTTAAGTGCTGTTCGACTCTGCGATGTCGTCAAACTGGGCTTCAGCATACAGTCTCAGCGTGAGTTATGAATAGTATATCCCCCCCCCCCCAATGCTTGCCTCCAGTAATGTTTCGAACCCAGGGCTTGTTTCGAAACAGGTCCTGCCTTCAGTAATACGTGTACCTTGCCATGGTTGTGCTTCCGATCCTGCTCGTTTCACCCTATGACTGATTGGGGCCTCGAACTCACCATAGGACGAGATCGGTAATGCTTGTGGTTTCTTGGCTCATTAACGGTGTGGAGTCGCAGACCATCACATCGAGAGGCTGAACTGCGTAATGGACTGATACATCCCTTTTTGTGGTTCTAGGATCCCAAACCCATCACATAGGCAGCCCGTTTGGACTAGAATCGCTCAATGGACTGCCGGAGTTTATTTTGGTGGCTTGGGAGCCCAAACTTGTCGAACCAGTTGGCGCCTCCCATGGTTACATAAGTATATAGTTCCAAGCTGACATGCTCATTTCATGATAATGCCAGTAATTGGTGGCTTGTTTCACTGCATGGTTCCATGGTTCAGTAATCAAGTGACTACGGGCCCACAGTTTGTAGGGCGTCGAGATGGCTGGTTCTGAGCGTTTCATGGTCTGTGGACTTAAGCATGTAACGCTTGACGTCAACGGTTGAGTGACCATACATGTGCACTTGTGCGCAAAAGCTGTTTTAACAAGAACTCACAAGCCCTACTTACTTCCCCAATAAGCCAGGGAAATAAAATGTTAACCTTTCAGATTACTACTAAATTATAAGAACCCAAAAAGTTTAACCGTGGTTATTGGGGAACTAGGCCTAAACACAGAGCTAGAGTTAGCTGGTGCCTTGCTCCGCCCTCGGACATGGACCTTAGATGCTGCAGAGATCTTCAAAGGAGTTCGTCACCAGCCTGAGGGCTGAGGTTCGCAAATTATTTAGCCTAGCTGCCTTAGCTGTACTTTGGGTTCAGGCCCTTGGCTCTTGGAAGTTTGGAGCAGAAGGGAAAGCACCAACTCGGATCACGGGGTGAACAAAAGTCACTCCCGGGCCTGTCTATGGTGCACCTACACTATGCGCCGAGGAGGACTTCTGCAAACTTATGGCCTGAATGAAAATGGATGCTTGCAACAGGACCAAGCGGCCCTGCCTCCACGGGGCGACCCTCCTGACCAAGGATCACAAGCCCCGGGAGCCACACTGTTTCTGTGTGTCTGTGTGTGTGATTCCTTTTTATATGGCTCTGTCCAAGTTCATAATTCCAGGGTTCAGGCGATGTGGGACCTGAAGGGATTGATTGAGAGTTTTGGCGGGCAACCTCCCTGATTGAAGAGCGTTGAACCACAGAGGTCGGAACATGTTTCACGGATGATGATAGCGGGCCTTGACCCAGCCAGCAAAGCCACCACTAAGGGTGGCAAGCATTGTAAGCGGATGCCTGAGAGGCAGTTGAATCACGGTCACGTGTTCTGGACTTGGGCTCCATGGTTTAGGAGGCCTCGCTCAACAGACTTCACGGAAGCAACCTCGGAGTGCCGAAACACGCCCAAATAACCTCCCCCGATCTGAAACACGATAGATGATGAAGGGCCGACTGCGACCGCGATGCCCGAGAATCTCCCAGAGCCAGTTCGAGGCAGACAAGTCTCGACCGACTGTGGTGTGGATGAACTTGCTGTCATGTGTCGCGTATGTGATAATTCGGGTCGTTGCGAGATTCCATTCTTTCAGCTTGGAAAGCGTCCGTTGCTGATCCATGAACATCTTGCTGTACGGAATGTTGATGGCACCCGGGATGTGGTAATTCACGAAATCCTCGTTGTCCCGCACGTCAATGAGCAGCGTCTCCAGTCGGAAGGTTCCGGTACGTGCGGCCCTCTCGACCACCAGCTTGGTTCCCAGAAGTGCGACTTCTGAATGCTCATCATGCAGCCGAACTGTCCACCGCTGGGTTTGGGGATTGTAACCCACCACTGTGCCTTGCTTGCCATTTAACTCCGCCTTTTTCAAGCCGTGAAGCTCCACCGTAGCGTGCTGCCCGAGGCCTAGGCCCACCAGAAGCTCGTCAGGAGTGACCTGGGGCCGCGAGCAATTACCCGACCTCGTCCCATAAACCGTTAATAATGCATGCAGCAGACCAACATGGCCCAAACTATCGAAGAATTACTGGACAGTACCGCGACGAGCACTTGCCTGAAATCGCTGCTCGCGTGGGATGTTGCAAACCGCACCATACTTCGCCAACGACATGGCACGAAACGCCCCTGGGACCGCTTCAAAATCCAATTCAGAGGTCTGGCCTGTCATCGTTCCTAGACATAAGTGAAATCGGCACCCCAGCACCGAGCTGATCAAGCTGAGAGACGGGGGCCTCTGCAATCTGAAGATGCAGGTACAGTCGCCTTGTCTATGCCTGCAACGCCCTGGTAAAGCATGCGAGAGTTCTTAAAGCCAACAGCTGGAGTTACTGAGAGCAACTGTTGGCTGCGTGACTCTGGGTCCTGGGACCCTGGATCTAACCTGCTGAGCCGCTGGATGGAAGCATTACGTCTCCATGGGGCAACTTGCATGAAAACCAGGTTGCTCTCACTTGTAGAACCCCTGAAGCCAAAGGCGTGAACACACTCCATGCGACTGTCCAAAGCCGATAACCCTGATTCCCAAGCTCTGCCTCCAAAAGCTCTTGTGTGGGGAGGGGCCCGCGGGCCAGCAGGACGGACGTGCAATCCTCATACGGATGAGTACTTCGGTTCAGGACAGGGGTTTGGACATTTTGATATCTGGAGATGTATGGTGAGGCTGAAGTTTACTGTAAATGCGTAAATGCGGAATTCTCGGCATTTGAACTTGCTTGCTTGCTACACCTGATCTGGTCACCATGCTGACTTCCAAAACAACTGCTGAGGATCATTCTGATCTGCATTTGTTGTGCATGCCACTGCGATGGCTCTACTAGCTGGCTGGAGTGGTGGTGACGATGGTGACGCCACATGATGTGGTGCTTATGCTGCTACAAGATCGACAAGACAGATGTACTGCAGCGCATAGTTTCCAAATGCTCTCCTGAGAATTTTTTGTACGGTATCAAGGCATGAAATCATAAGCGTTTCATCAAGGTTTGAGGGAACGAAATAGACATGCAATGAAATTGCAATGATGTGGTATGGGAATCGACGTACTGGTACACCATATGGTGATCTGATGTCGGGCAGTGCCATACTGACAGAGCGACACGATGGTGTAAGACAGCGGTAGGGGCGGGGCGGTAAATCACATCGTGGTACTGACAGCACGGTATTCTGGAAAGGTCATATCGTGAGTACGCTGTCGTTGCTGGACAAGAGACTGATGTGGCGAATATGCCATTACATAAACCGCACGACGACGATCTAATGATGACGATGACGATGGCGGTGCAGAAGACGAAGCAAACCGATCGTAAAAATGAGGAGGACGAATATTTTTATGACGACAGTGATGATATGATGATGATGATGATGATGATGATGATGATGCTGACGATGATGATGGTGATGAGGATGATGAGGATGATGATGATGATGACGACGACTCTGATGGTCTTGTGGTGGTGCCTTGTCGGGGCCCCTGCTTTGCTGCAACGGCCAACATAACAGTCACGACGATGGCACGACACACCAGGCATGTCTGCTGCTGAACTCACTCCTGCCTAGAGAGCTAAACACACAGCAACGGTATTCGTCTTCGCTTAAGTCTTCACGGGGGTGTCTTGGAGACTAAGACGAGGGATGGGAGGGCTGTTGGCAATCATCTCGATTCTCAAATTGGCATGAATGCACCAAATGCAGTGCTAGGTCGAGCGCCAGGTTTGCAGCTTGCTGTGTAGAGGTGTGGATCACATGATGCATTGCGACACCGGTCAGCTTGTAAGAGCTATGTGCAGCCCATGAAATGGCTGCCATGCTCTTCCGCGCTGTCCTGGATGAGGATGCCTTGAAGCTCAACCGAACTGAACACCTGAGATGAGGCAGTTTTGCAGTATAACAGATATGGTGTTGCCACGTGTTTCGCTGCCCCTCATCAGAGTTCTCGGCCGAGAGCTGTATCTTGAATCTATACACTTGTGGTGCAACTGGCACACTGCACGCTGCCATTCGTTGCAGAATTACCTCGAGGAGCGGACGAATGCTCCGGTGATCAGCCAGGTGCCCAGAGCTCCACAGGCACTGCTCCCAAAGAACCTTGACCACTTCACGCAAGGCTTCCCTGTAGACGAGCGAGCGCTCGCGACTGAACTCTGCTGCAGAAGAGGTAGACGAACATATGCGGCACAGTTGAAGGGCTAAGTTTTGCATGGTCGACATCAACCCGCATTGTGGTCACGATACGTTCGAAACTGAACTACGTCCTTTGCAAATGGAAGTAGCTTCGACGTGGTGAATCTCCGCAAGTTTGCATATGAAAGGCCCGGGAAACCTACCCAAACTGGGAATCAGCATGTTCATCCATCTCATCAACACGCATATTTCGGACGGTTCGGGGCTACCTGCATCAACGGATTTCAGATGAGAGCCGCGACCCACACCCTTCAGGTGGGCTCAGGGTTTGGGGGACAAAGAAGGTCGAGGGCTTAGTGCTATAAACCTTGCATTTCGGTGCGTACTTATGCCTCAAATCAAACTGGGCTCCCGGCAGGCAACCGAGCACTAAGCACGAGAAGGACCAAGCAAAGCTGGAGGCTGAGAGCCTGGCAGTTTCTGCACAGATGTATGACCGATGCTTCATGACAGTGGATACGGGGTTCAAGTGCAGCTGGCCCGGCAGCCCAGAGAAGCCTAGGGTGTGGGACTCTGGTAGCAGGTAGCACGATTAACGGTGCAAGGGCTTGGTGAATCGGCTTGGTGAGTCAGTGATACTCGGGGCAGATTTCGGGGAGTGGGGCTTCAGGATTCAAACACGCGAAGATGAGATGCCTGCAGCAAGTCTGAGGCTACCATTTTGGGCGTTCAGCATCAGGGGGTGGGTATGACGAGTTGCAAGTTCAGCTGCTGAACTGTTGTCCTGCAAACAGGGGACTTAAGATGCAGGTCGTGTCAGACCGGAAAATCTACGGATAACAGCAAGCGCAAGTGAGTAGCAGAATTTAGGAGGAAAGCTTGCCGAATTCCTCTTGTTCGTGTTCAGCTCCGGTATTATAGAACCCCACGTAAACTATTCTAGGCCGACTGGAGCACAGACAAGTGCTCGACCTGTTTCGCTATCACACGCGCGAGCCTGTCTGCCAGCATAGATAGCCCCAAACACTGAAAGAAGACTACGCAGAAAATGACGGGAAGACCACAACAAGGCTACATTCCAAGACCATTCCAATACAACACCCAAGACGACAAATATACATGACCACAGTGCAGAATCCGAGAATATAGTTTGACACGGCTATAGAATTCAAGGATTGTTTTGCAATTAGAGTTTAGAGGGCGCTCGTGCACCACCTCCGAAAACGAAAACCCAGCATACTGGCAGGGATTATCGTGTCAATTTCGCACAGGCACCGAAATTCCGCGGTCCTGCTGGAGCTTTGTCTTGACAGGAAACATGTGCAAACGATGGCACAGCGTAAGCGATCGGCAATTCCGGCAGACGGGAGATCGCGAGAAGGCGCACTGCGTGAGCGCTGAACCGCCGAGTGACTAGTGCGCCTGCCGGATGCACCTCGTGCGCTCATCAATCAGCTTGCCACGTGCTGCAGCAACAAAGGGTCGATTGCCCCGGAGTGCTGGGTTCGGGTTTTGGGCGGAGGAAGTGTGATTCCAAGCGTGGCGGAGAAACCCGATAATGCCAGCACGGACCTCAGTCGCGACAGAGTCTTGATGCTATAGCGAAAAGCTGTACAGCGATAAATGCGCATGTGAGGCTGGACTGAGGACCCAGGCTCGTCGGTGAATACCCTGCAGTGGAAAACTGTTCCATTGGAGCCCGTGCCTGGCAACATCAAACCCCAGCATGCTGAAACACGGATTCTTCTGCAACTAAGCCGGACCTGACAAACGCAATGCGTGCTACACTGCAATGCAAGATGAACTCAACCCTCAAGACTCGCGACCTGTTGCTGTGCTTTCCGTCGCAGCAGAACAAAACAGTGGGAGTCCTAAACTCAATGCGTCATGCAGCTGCGTGCACTGTTGAGTCACATTTGTCACAAAGTGGCCGGACGTTATGTTAACCTGGCTATACACGTTGCGGTCGCATATGTCGACGGTGCATGTACGTGTATGTATACATATATATATATATATGTACAGAAGAGGAGGCTGTGGGGCCTGCATTTAGTATCATTTAGGCAACCCACTATTTGCAGTGGTTTTGCATGTTGTGAGTGGTTGTGTCTGTGTTTCTGTGTCAATTGCTTATTAGCTTGGCGCGTGTGTGCGTGTATGTTGTTGCTAAAACCTACAACATCAAGTCGAAGTTGTTGCAAGCCACAGGGTCTGTTTATAAACAATATTATATAAATACATATAAATACATACAGATATCTATTTGTACATGTGTGTGTATGTATGCAAGGACGGATGGATGTATGGATGTATGTATTTGTGTATGCATGGATCTATGTATGTATGTCTGCATGCATGTATGTATGTATGTATGTATGTATGTATGTATGTAGGTATGTAGGTATGTATGTATGTAGGTAAGTAGGTAGGTAGGTAGGCAGGCAGGCAGGGAGGTAGGTAGGTAGGTAGTTAGTTAGGTAGGTATGCATGTATGTCTGCATGCATATCAGTATGTATGTATGTATGTATGTATGTATGTAGGTATGTAGGTATGCAGGTATGTAGGTATGTAGGTATGTAGGTATGTAGGTACGTAGGTATGTAGGTATGTAGGTATGTAGGTATGTAGGTATGTAGGTACGTAGGTATGTAGGTATGTATTTGTGTGTGTCACGTTTTTCATAATTAGCATTCAAATGTATGTACGTATGCAT